TGTTTCGTTGTCTGTTGAGGAAGTACAGACGTTCCTCTCGTTGATACCAGAGGAGCGGATCCAACGAGAGCTTGATGGGGCGACGTGGAATGAAAAATTTTTTTAGGAGTCGCGGCAGTAGATGCGGCGCAACTATAACGACATGTGAATAATTCTGCCCATTCTAAAGCGATACTAAACTGCAGTGGAAACGCAAACCGACCTGAGCCGAGCCGAGCCAAGCTGTGTCGAGTCTTACGGTCCTCAGCAGCCAATGACACTGACCCGTTCAAACTGATTTTTAAGGTGTACTTCACGCGTATTTAACACGTTGAATACACGTATTTAACGTGCCAACAAAAATGAAACACATTTTTGCTTAGTATGGTTGAATTGGATCATCAAAGGTCAGTAGCAAAGACATTGGTTAATAAAATGGGAATAAATAGCCTATATTTGTCTTATTTAACATTCAGGAATACTGAATCTGTTTTTGTTCGACTGAGATGAGTAAATGCCTGTTGACATTTACTGTAGAACCCCAGTAGCATCATGTTTCTCACAGCGTGCACACAACGCCTCTGCACTTACTCCCGATTTCTCTCAACATGGCAGCACGAGAGCTGTCAGACAATACATGGGAATTAAAGTAACTGGAGTTACTGTGTACAAAAATCATTATACACATAGATATTTTATATAGACTATATACAAGATTTATATGCACAATTTCCTAAAGCTTAATAGATAAATGGTCCTGTACAATAAAAAAAACGACATTATGAACATGAGATTATTAACAAGAGATGTCCTCTCTCTTTACCTTTATGATCAACTGATTTTTCCTGTCTCTTTGAGTGCATTAAGTCCCTTGAAAAAAAGACTGTTTGTTTGAAAAATCTCAGGGATATAATAGTCTACAGCTCAGTGCCGGGAACAGTGGATATAGCAAGTATAGAGGAACATTTTGGCCTGGTGTTATTCCTCAGTGCCTTGACTAGGTGGGAAGGGCAGGGCTACAGCATGCTCCTGTGCAAGAGCTGCTAGCTCTTTGAGAAACTCTGAGAAAATAACAGCACAGTAGACTGCGTTTTTCACCCTTAATGCCTCTGCCTGCTTCTCCAGGCCAGAGCCCCCACTGGCTGCACCACCCCGAAACAAAGCACTGTGCAGAGACTGCCCTCCGTCTCTCACGTGGGCCAAGGCCAACTGAGCTGCATGTCGAGCTCTCGTAGGACTGTTGGTGTGCCTCAGGATAAGATCGCCCAGAGATGGTTTTCGGCTTTTAACTGTGGGAGAGACAGAGAGAAGAAAAGAAAAGAAATAAGTTAATAAGTTTCCTTGTGCATTATAATTCCTCTTTAGGCCATTTCAAAAATGAGTTGAAAGGTAAGTGAAATGTCTCCTTTAAATTGACTGAACATAATGACAAATTCTCAGGGTATATGAAGAGTTTTTAAAATCAAATGTTAGACTTTAAGACCTCTTCTGAGAGAGGTCTTCTGCACAAATAAAATTAATATTGTGTTTATACGGAGCAAATACTGAAGACATATTTTATATGTCAATATACAGTATACACATGTACTGACATTGGTTTATGTTCTAATATATGAATACTAGTGCTGTCAAAATTAGCATGTTAAAGGCAATTATATTAAAATATTTAACGCAATTTACGCAGGGGCGGAGCTAGTTGGCCACCCCACTCACAACTGCTGCTTCGGTCTTTTTTCTTGACAAGAATTGCATTTATTTAGACGCGGAACTATGTATGTCAGTTCCATGTCACGTTTAGCAGTGGCAACTCAAAGTAACAGCAGCCAAAATAACCTAATAACCCAGCTGCTGTGATGTCTGTTAATCAAAGAACAAAAGAAAAAAGGGGAAAATCAATAACAGTTGGCAACATTAGACACTAACTAACATTAAAAAAGTGAAATCGCAATGAACCACCCCTTTAAGGATTCATCTATATTTAATTTAGAATTTCATGTTTCATAACTTTATTCAATTTTGAAGGGCACAGGTAAATTCTAATAAATGTTAAAATCGACAGCTCTCAATTATACTGTAATGTTGAACGGCTATAGTCAATGGTTAAATATTAGGGGGAAAAAACAATTTCCTAGAGACATCAGTAGTATTGGTATCAGTGATACTGGCCTTCAGTCATAAAAAAAGATGCCATTAAACAAATATTAAAAAATACTATCTTTATGTTGTTTCAACATTAATTTGAAGATTGAATGTGCAATTATTGCAATAAAAAAGTACAGTTAAAAACTTTAATGTTAGGTGGGATTAATCGCGATTAAATTTCAGGGAAAAAATGCGATTAATTAGTTTTTGTTTTTTTTATCGATTGACAGCACTAATTAATACATACATGGATTTTGCTGATACTATAATAATGTTTAATATGTCTTCCTGGGACAGGGCAGCTCAGAGAGAAGCCACATAAGAGCTTATGTAGCGTCTGGACCACTCAAACACACAATATATATTTTGTTAGCTAGATTTAACAAATACTCTGTAACACCCCAGGAAGCCGAACAGGCCCCTGGTTCCATAGCAACACTGACACCAGATACATTTACGATCTAAAGGAATGTGAGCAGAGACTCTCACTGCATGTCCCATAAGCAAGAGGCAAATGCACAGTAGAAATGGACTTTTCTACTAATTAATTCATAGGAAAACCTTTCTTTGAATGAACAGTGTATCCTTCAGGTCATGGTGTATGTTGTCTTTGAGGTTTTATACTGTTTTATGCAGGCTTATGATCGAAACACTCCTTCCTGTCATCTTACATATATATAACCCTACCATGTTTAGTATCTATGAATTAGTATTCGGATGATCTAATTGAGAGTGTATATTGTATGTTTATACCTACGCAACATATTAGTGTTCTAAGAGTCTTTAGTAATTTTGATCCAAGTTTCATATGCAAATTACCATGCTTTCAAACAAAGGGCCATAAAAACGCCCCAGTATCTCAGAACTCCCACTTGGGACGTCAGCCTCTCTCATTGGACAAGCCCATCTTGAGAGGCGGGGATCTTCTCCGACCTTAAAGGCACCACACCATGTGACCCGCCCAGGGTCGGTGGTTCTGTTAGGTTTCGATAAGATGTGAGTTCCAACGCTCCAGAACATCCTAAGTTACGTGCCAGGCTTCGGCCTCGACCTTTCCATTAATCAAGATTCTCTGACTCAAAACTGGTTCTTTTCATCGACCCAAATTCAGCAAAGATCAACTGGAAACTTCAGATTACATCAAACCTCTCTTTCAGACAGATGAGACATGCAAGTATCAAACTTAGCCTTATTAATTGATACATGAGGTATCATTTGCACCTTTTTACAAAGGTGTGTTTGAACTAAGAATCTGATGTTTCCCTTCAGGCTGTAAATCTGCTGAATATCAAATGGTACCATAGTTTCATATTCTTATTTCTCTTCTCTTTACTGCGTTAAGCTTTTAACCCTTTCCTATACCAACTGTATGTGTGTGTGTGTGTGTGTGTGTGTGTGTGTGTTTATGTGTATGTTAGACCAGTTTAAGTGTTTATGTAGTATGTTAGACTAGTTTAAGTGTTTATGTAGTTAATAAAGTCTTACTTGTATCACACTTGACGTTGTTCAGTGTTTTGCTCATAACTGGAGTCACTTAATCATGCCGATTTATGCTACATGCTCTGTGTAGAGTTGAACAGTAAGAAAGTTATTTCCTTTAACCAGGAAATTAACGTTCTTAGAATTGACAGACAGTTGACCCTGAGAGGTCAGCTAAATATCTACAGCGGATCTAAATATTCATAATTAATTATAACTAGTTATGATTAATTACTCATATTTCCCCATGAGCTGATTCGTTACACTTATGTTGAATTAAATGATATAGTTTGTGTAAACAAAATACCAAAAATATCCAGAATTTTTTTTAATGCATAATGCAGGACTTTTAATTATAAACAAGCCTGAAATACACAGGACTCTTAATTGAAATTGTCTATGGTTTACGCTTTCCAGTTCTCATGCTGTATAAGGGAGATATGCACTTTTACAACCATCTACAACATTACAATATAAAACCCATAAAGTAAACATTGTTTTTAATTCACCGAAAGCAGATCATAACCAATTGCTTGGCATAGATGCAAGGTATTCATTGACTGTGAACTACTCTGAAAACACGAGACTGTAGAATGCTCAATAACGCCATATTTTGACTTTGAGCGTGCAGCAATCAGAATAAATTAAATCATGAATTTTAATAATTTCTGCTTTCTGTTCCCAAAATTAAGACCCCTTTAAATGTCCAATAAGATTTCCGTTATACTATTTAATATATTTTTTTATGGTCTTATATTCAAAATATCCTTCAAGGCTTATTGTGTGATATGACCGTGTGTGTATTATGCTTTACAAAGGCGAAAGTCACAAAAACATGTCACATCAAAACATCAATAAAACATGATCTCTTGTTTTTGTTCCTGAGAATGTTCATTCCCTTTCATCCACCTACTTAATGAGTCTGAACGACGGAGGTTGGGCACTCCCATGGGTGAGTCAGACCAGTCTAACTTTCCTCTTGCAACCAGAAAGCGGCGAGCCTTTCTTAACATGGCAGGGAAATCCTCGTGTGCTGCTGCAAATACTTCAATGCGATTTTTTACTGATCCTAGCACCTGAAGAGTAGAAAGAAAAAGGAGTCAAAGTAAAAATCAACCTTTTTGAAAAAATCTTTTTGATGCAATGCATTTGTTTATAAACTTAAGTTCCAGTCAAATCTAATTTTAAATTAATTGCTTACTCAAACTTTATCCCTAGAACATTAAACAGCTTAAATTTTTTAAACCATAAAAGCTCAAAAAAGTGCCAATGACACAAAAGACAGTTTTTGAGTATTTAAAATCAATTCTGATTTCATATTTTTGATCAGAAAATGTACAAACCAATAAAAAGAGCAACTGAAAGTGATTCAGTCTTTGCATATTTTATATTAAGTAGTCATGCAGATGGATTTGTCATATTTCTACGTTATGCATTTCTGCATTACCTGAATGAGTGATTTAACACTGGGCTGAAACACCATGTTGGCGTTGAGGAGGAAAGAGCGGAGGAGAGGCTGAGGGTAACAGGCCAGCTGGAACACAACACCCGTCAGCAAAATGTTCACATATAGGGAGTTCTGCATCATACTCTCCAGTTTACTGAACAGGACTGTTATAAATGGACCTACACAGAGGGAGAAGCGGAACCAGTGACTTATGGTTAGCACTTGCTGAACTTGCACAAGTAACATAAGCACTCAAATCTTTAATTTGGTCATCTCTACATCGAGAACCTGTGTACGGTTGAGCAAGAGGTTGTCCGAGGGGTCGTGCGGGGCTAAACACCCCAGGGGCAGAGCTGTCAGGCTTCGTTTCACTGGAGTGCTGCTCAGTCTCCACTGGAAGACAGTCCTCATCTGTCAGGCTGGAAGCAGGAGCAGTGCGAGATTCCCGAGAGGACTCCTCCGAGCTGCGTGAAAGAACCCTCCTCTCCCTTACACGTTCCTCCAGCTCCTTCAGCTCCTGGTGAAAAGCCTCAATGCTGATTCCCTGGCATTTCGAGTCTCCAGACAATGGCTCCGACGGCGCCTGCTCCAGCAACTCCTCAATCAGACGCTCAACGGACTCCGGACCCCTACTTTCACGGGGAACTGTGGAAGTCTCGGTCAAGGCAGGAACAGGAGATAATCTCTGGCTCTCGCTTTGCAGACACTCTTGGGTAGAAGAGGGCACGGAGGTTTGATGTTGCAGATGTGGCTTCACCTGCACCTGAGATGATTTCATTGCCGATCCTACGTGTAAATCATTGTAGTCAACCGGGCACATACCCATCGACCCGTTCATCCCTGACTCCACCACGCTGTTATTTACATCAGAGTCCCTTTTCACTTTCTTAACTTCCATTCTCTCATCCACACTGTCTGTGAGCTCCACCTGCCCCATACCATTATGGAGCGCTGGATGAAGTGCCAAATGAGAGTGTTGGGATACGGTTTCCACAGCACCTGTTATTTCTGTAGAGACTGATGCAGAAGAAGAAGACTGGAGAGGTATAGAACTGGGAAGAAGGCTGTGTTTCTTACTGCGGGGTGTGAGACTGATACAGTTCTTGCTGATGGTAACAGCCCACTCTCCACTATCTCGATCTGAACTGCTCCACTCGGCACATGCTGCAGCCACGACTGCTGCCCTCTGCTGAGCGGGGTCCATTATGGAGAAATGCTCTTGTACCATACTGAGGGAGGGGTTGGACGTAGGAGCGGGAGATGGAGGAGGAGCAGAGTTTGGAGAGGGATTTTCTCCATCGTAAGGGGCTGACCAGTCTCGACAGGCCCAGGAGCAGAGCTCAATACCCTTCCGAGCATCACGCAGGTACTCCAGGTAGCCAGTCTCTCCTTCTGAAGCGTCTTGGAGTTGGTGCATGGGGCTGTCAGGAGACAGAGGGGAGGAAACACTACCACGAGGAGAAGAGGGAGCGTTCTCCGAGCCAGACGAGGGGGGGTTGGCTTGGCCTCCTGAGCTTTGCTGTCGAATAAAGAGAGCGAGGCGGGAAGGAGTGCTGGGTCTTGGGTGAACCGGTGACTCTGAAGTGGGACTACCTAGCACTGTAGGAAAAATGGAGAGAAAATACATTTTGTAGGCATGAACAGCAGCAAAGTTTTTTCAGTGCAGTCTAAAAGCACATCTGTAAATGTGCCTGACACAGGCTTACCCTTTCCCCAAAAGGCAGGTTCATCATCCCGCTCACTAGAGGGTGCTGCAGTGATTCGGCAGCATTCTGGTATGAGGGAAAGGAACTTGTCAGCTGATTTGCCATAGAGGTCTGTTTCTCTGACTGCCCTTCGCTGACTCAGCATTACATGTGTGCATGGCAACAGATACCTAGAGACAAACATTAAATAAACTTTTATTTTTTTACACACAAATAATAATTATTTTAGTCTCTTTCGCCCAAGTATGAGCAATATCAAATGCCTAATAAAACCCACAAATAAGAATCCTATTATATATGACACACAAATATAGGATCTACACAATCGTTGGTAACAAAAATAGTTTTTTGTAAGGAGTCTCTTATGCACACCAAGGCTGCATTTATTTGATCAAAAATACAGTAAAAACAGTAATATTGTCCAAAAATGATTATAATTTAATATGTCATTTATTCCTGTGATGGCAAGGCTGAATTTTCAGAAGCCATTAATCCAGTCATCAGTGTCACATGGCCCATAAATGACAGAAATATGTAGTTTTGGCACTCAAGTAACATTTCCTATTATTAATATCATCAAAGTTGAAATAATAATATATTTTTGTGGCAACTATGACAACAATTTATTTAAAATTGATTTAAAATAGAAATCACTTGTAACATTATGTCTTTACTGTCACTTTTGATCAATTGAATGCATTCATTGTGAAATATAAGTATTTAATTTCTTTAAAAAAAATCTTACTGACCCTAAACCTTTAACGGTGGTCTATGTAATGCATTGCAATTTGCAAAATGCATTGTCCAAATCCATCTATAAACAGCCAAAGCTTATTTTGTAGGCTTTCTTGATTGCAAATTGAGTCACACACCCAAGCACACAAAATACCTGAGAACAAGCTGGAGCATGAGGTCTTCACAGTTGAGACTGAGCAATGTCTTGAACAGACTCAGAGAGACCATGCACAGCTTCAAAGAGAGGGAAAGAAAAAACAATGCAACTTCAGTCACTCCACATTCCCAGGAATATACTGCTTCTTCAATGCTAAGTCTACAGCACTGACAAAACAGTGTATTTTCTATCTATACATGCACCCTAGCTGTAGCATGTGCCAAACTAACCCGTGAATTGCTGCTGATGCGTGTGAGTAGTGTATCAAGGATGGTGTCATTGTCATGGCGATGCAACAGAATGAAGCACAGGAAGGTCTTAAGGAGGGAAGTTTCTGTGATACTGCGTAAAAACAAGTCCAGATATGCCGTGCTTGCTATCATCTCATCCACTGACGACTGACAGAGGAACCATGAAAGAGAAAGAGAGAGAGAGAGAAATCAAAATAAGAGAAAACGAATACTATTCAAAACATTGTTTTATAATGAATTAATATGGAAACTGCCATCTACGCCAAATATGGCTCACATCTTCAGCCCAGTTCAGTGTGGTTCACCTTGTGCAGAGCGGGGCCTATGACTGGAACCAGGAAGCCATTGTGGAGGTAGTCAAGGAGTTGGCAGCGCACAAGAGGGTGTGCCACCTGTACTACAGCATTACAGAATTCAAGACTGTTCATGAAAAGCACTAGAGAGGAGACGCCCATCCAGTCCTCCCTCCGCAAGGCATGCCAGTCGTCGCCCCGTACCTCAATCTTCCGTGGCAGGGATGAATACAGTCCACTCAGCCCTGTTGCTAGCACCTGGGAAACAGAACAATAGGTGCCAACATTATTTCATAAAGTTCACCAAGCAATCTCTGCATTTTAAATATAAACTGAATGAAAAAACATTTGCAATATGCACATCTGAAAACAAAGCAAATGAAGCCTATACATTTGACAAGTTGCAACAAATCTATTTGACTAATGAACTGTATAAGTTGTAAATAAACGTATTAAGTTCACTGCTGCTTCACCCTTTGTAATAACACATTATGGTAAAATCACTGTAACACACAGGATCGTCCCTTTTTTTTTTTTTTTTTTTGCTCAACTACAACAAAAAGTACAGCTCTTATTTCAAGCACAGTTATTGTTATTCCAACATCTTAGCAAGGAATAATGATACACTCACTTTAATGAAAATTCTGGAAAATGTAGTCTCCAAAATGGAGACTAATTTGCAATATCCTGACCACAAGGATTTCTATTGAAATTACTGGATTATCAAATGTGAACATTCACTGAATATGGTAAACACATTAATGCTCAAGTATGGTGAAGAACATCATTCACATCAGGGCTAGTTTTATATCTGGAACTTCATCATGTCTTCTAGAGTCACAAAACAGGTCACCAAAGAAACTACCAGCTAGACCTATGCATCTCTAGCATAAAAAGACACAAAGTAAAAAATAAAAAATAAATAAAGTGAGAGAGGAAAATGTTGAGAAGTACTGCAGCATGGAGTCCTAGATGAGACCTCCAGTTGCATGCGTTAAGTGGGTCAGATGAATGCTCATATTATTCTCAAGAGAAAAGAGGACAGAGGAGAGGAAAGCAGCACATCCACTGAACCCAACTGAGTCCAAAACTGTAGCACAACTGCAGATGACAAATGGCCTTTTCATTCCACAATAGCCAATGGCAACCCAGAGAAAATACTACAGCAGTGGTTCTCAAACTGTCCTGGAGTACCTCCTGCCCTGCACATTTTATATGTCTCCCTCATCTATCACACCTGATTCAACTCATCAGCTCATTAGTGGAGACTACAAGACCTGAAGTGGGTGTGTCAGATATAGGGAGACATACAAAACGTGCAGTGCTGGGGGTACTTCGTGGAGAGGTTTGAGAACCCCTGTACTACAGGACTTTATATCTCCACTGAAACAGCTCCAAGAGGCACTCAAGAAATGAACAAGCGACATTTCAATTGAATGGCACAAACAAAAAAGGCAAATCATAACATGAACAGAAAGGATATATTAATAAAGACATGCTAACAGAAAAACAGGAGGATACACAACAACACACTCATGCTTACTGGGCAGAAGTAGGAGTTCTCTGCGATGTGACGTGCAACAGTGTGGTTGCTGGCAGAGGTTGCCATGACGAGCAGCAGCGCATCACGGGCCTGCTGCCCCAGAGAGCCGTCTCGATGAATAAATGGCACCAACAAGGAGAAGATCAGCAGGTTAGTGGGACCCTGCTGTACCGGTCCACACCTAAATATCAACTCCAAAACTGCAGTTTCCTTCGCCATGCATACACATACCTAACACAAACAAACATTATTTAGTAACAAATTGGGAAAACACATTCATATTCAATTATGCACAAAATCATTGTACATTACAGCTGTATGCACCCTTCATGCTTGGGCTCATATGAAATTTCTGGCCTGCTTTTTCAAATAACTAATTAGAGCATTTCCATTTGGAAAAAAAAAACAAGAGACCAATTGCAACTAATTTAAATAATTAGTTTTACTCCTCATTTGAGTGGAGAATTGTAAAATAGCAAGGATGGTTTATGTCAAGATCTGTCAAATATTTTGAGTCTTGAGAAGACCAACATGGAGTTTTGTTTCTGTGCTGATTGTAATCACATATTCTAATTTTGCTGAATGTTTTGTTGGTCCTGGAAAGATATTCCTGTCAGAAAAATAAGTTCTAACCCAATCCAGACCTCTAACCCAAAACTTAATAACCTAACCATTAAATTACAGGAAAAAGGTGTAACCAAGTTCTAAGCTCAATTTGATTGGTTGTCATGAATGTTGTTCCAAAAATGTTGACTCTGGAAATAATGGAACTCAAGGACAAAGACCGGTTCAATTATTGTAATCTGCAAAATTCTGTGGAATCAATTTAAATATGGGAAAATGCACAAATGACGAGTCTGCAGAGCAGGTTCTGTGCAGGCCTGGTCATGACTAACAATAAATGGTTCAAACTAGGGATGCACCGAAATGAAAATTCTTGGCCGAAGCTGAACAAAATGAAACACTGGGCCGAAGGCCGAATACCGAACACGGTTTTTCACGTTTTTCCCCCCATTTTGCCAATTTTTTCACCATTGCATAAATTAAATAGCCAAAATGTGCTTTTTACTGTTTTGTCTTGCTTTTCAAAGAAAAAAATAATTTACAAAACAACAATTTGAAAATATTTACTTAACACTGACATTTTTTTAGCATTCTAGCAGACATTATACCAATAAAACACAACTTAACTTAAAATTAATAAGTTAGTAAAATAATATTTTTTGGCCATTTTTTAGACCCCTTCTTGAATCAGGCATGTATTTTTGCCTTGCTGAGCAGAAGAGACTTCTTTTAAAACATTAGAGAATATTATAGATCCTAGTCTGAACACTGTGTGTAAATGTTACAATAAATGTTTTAATAGAGCTGTTGTAATTATTATTTTCATTATTATTTTCGTTTTTTATTTTATTTTACAGAACAACAGTAAAATTACAATAATAACATTTATTATTGTCACATGCCTTGTAAAAATTCATAAAAATGTTACTGAGCAGCTGACGAGTAACACAGTTTCAGCGCAGATTTCCCTCGCGCTTTGGACTTTGAACCCTACCGCCACAAGCTCGTGCAGCGCTGTTTGAACACATGCAATTCCTGCGTGTATTAGAAAACATAACATTCTGCCGTTTATTTAATTGTTTAAGGACATTTCGCGATTTTAATCATCGTACAGTAACCAGCAACAACCACCCTTCCTCTTCTCATCGAAGACATGCGATGCAGTACTAAACAGTCTCTCGCTGGCGGTGCTTGTAATGATTTTTGCGTCTTTCTCGGACAGCTGTTTCCACACTGCCGTCATGTTTGCTGCATTAGCGTGTGCCTCTATTTGATCGCGTCACGTCATTGTTCGGTACAATTTATTCTGTCTTTTCGCTTTTTTCTTTGCTATTTCGCTTAAAAATTTGCTATTTTCGGCTGAATAATTTCGGTTGCCGAACATTCGGTGCATCCCTAGTTCAAACAGGTGTCAGCATCTGCCTGTCAAACACCTGATTTAGCAGCAGTACGAGGCTGGACTCTAGGGCAGCAGGGCAGCCCAGCTGGGGATCCACACATGCTCCCAGCAGGCTTAGGAGCGGTTGTAGCACTGGACTGTGCAGGAGCAGGGGCTGATGTGACTGTCCTATCAGCATCTCAAACAATTTCAACAGCTCCAGCTGGCTGTCTGGATCCAGACCACGGCGCAAATGCCATTGTACCAACTCATCAAGGATGTTTTCTGCCACCACCATCTCCAGAATAGGACCCATTGCTGCAGACATTTCACAATCCATTGTCACATAAAGCAGCCTCTCATATATTACGCTAAACTGTGAAACAGCACAAATGTATGCTCCATCGAGCTCACAGGAGAGTGTTTTAACCTGGTGATTCAATGTCTCCCCCCGCTGGTCTCTCTTCAGCTAGCAGGCACAGCATCTGATCTGTGTGATTGCGAACTGCAGTGAGATCATCGGCATAGCAGCCCACTGAAGACTCTCTCTGTTTCAACACCCCTGACACCTGACAAAAAGACAAGGAACAGTTAAATTCTATTTGTGGCAAGGTCAAAGAGGAATAGGTGTCTATATTGATGTAGTGGAAAACAATCCAAATAAGAGAGCACCGACATACACTAAGGAGGAAAACCTGTTGATGTGTGGGTGTACCTACTGTATGCATTATATTTGAGCATAAAAGGTTACTGACATGCCCTAAAGACATAAAACTATAAAGGCATTTGTTTTCACATAAAACACACATTTCCAAATTACAAACCAAGCAAATAAACCAAGTGTTTTTGCCTTATTAATATGGAAAGACAACTATGAGCCTTTTAGTCAGAGCAGCATGCAGAGCATTCATTTTAACCCTATAAAGCCCACATTATCATGTTTGATACATGAATTCGTAAGCTCTCCGTTTTATCAACAATAAAAACTTTGCTGAAAAACCTGTTGTACACAATCTACTACATGCCTTCTGCCCTCTGACTGATAGTTCATACTTCGTTAACAAGTAAAAGCACAAAATTCAATTTACATGATTGCAGTTTATTTAAGGAGTTTATTTACACAATTATTATGAAAGAAAATAAGACTATGCTGTGTCTCACCTGTCTCCAGTGGTTCTCAAACACCATAAGACAAGTCTCAGGGTCGGCAGTGCATGGGCTGGATGGGGCTGCATGTCGACTGGTCCGAGTGCCTGGACCTCTTGGATTTAAACGACTCAGCCAACTCATCTTAGTGCACAGGCTGATCCAAATTTGATCAAAAGCTCAACAGGGAAGAATGAAGGGGAGAGAGGGAAGAGAAGTGTGGAGAGGGAGAGAAAAGGGAAAAGGGGAAAGGGGGGTAAGGCGGCTCACAAAAGGCGTCCAAAAATCAAGAAATGAAGAGTCCAGCTTGAAGAAATAAGAGGTAAAATCATAGAAAGGATGGAATCCTGCTGAAGTCTGCAGCAACAGTCACTGTACACCAGTGATCAGTGTGTGAGCATGCGAGGCTTGTCTGCACTCCCTGTCATCCAGTTTGCTGTCGGCACTATACTCCATACCGATACATAGACTCCTCCACACACACCTGCAGGGACAGAAAGAGAGCGAGAGGTCATTGATGACACATTCACACCTGCAGGTAAAAACAAAAAACAGTACAGCCAGTCAGTATAAAGGTTAGATTCTGAGGGAGATCGAAAGGGCACACAACATAAATTCCATTAGGGCAGCAACTATTTTGAGAATTGATTATAACATACATATTAATAGGATTAATATATACACTAATGTCAGTAATGGATGCTGAAAAGTCAGCTTTGTCATCACAGGAATAAAAAACATTTACAAAAAATTCCATGAGGGCTGCAACTATTTTGAGAATCGATTAACATACATGCTAATATGATTAATATATACTCTACTGTTCAAAGGTTTTGGATGAGCAAGTTCCCTTTTTTTTTTCCTGGCAAGGACACAATTGATCAAACGTAACAGGGACTGGAGTAACGGATGCGTTGTCATCACTGGAATAAATTTCCTTTTTTAAATATACTATAGAAAATACTCATTTTAAATTCAAATATAATTTCACAATATTACTGTTTTTATTGTATTCGTGATCAAATAAATGTAGCCTTGGGGAACATAAAAGACTTCAAAAACATTTAAAAAAAAAATGTACAGACCCCAAACTTTTGCACTGTAGCATAAATTCTTACTTTAATTAAAAAGACACCATTTATTTCTGGAATTTTATTAAAAATACAGTTTATTACACATCTCGCCCAATCCTTTGCGTTTAATTACGTTTGCAAAAGGGAAAACGAACATCAAGGCTCCTGGGATCTGTTCATTCCATTTTGCCGTTTCTGACAAAAACACATCATGCATGTATGTTTGAAGCAAAGTTATGGTATAGGGTGTGAATATTAATCGGGTCATACAGATGTTGCGGTTAGGCCTGGGCGATAAAACGGTATCAATATTTATCGACGGTACACCTTCTTCGATATCGATAGAAAAAATGTTCGATATAGTGCACGATATAGGCACGTGCTATGAGTGATGCAGACAGCACACACAAACACAAACACATGCTGAAATGAGTGCTGTGCCTGCCTGTGATGAGGAGATTGTGAATAAAGA